ATATTTCAAGTCACCATTTGACGTGAAAATTGACGTGGGTCTCACGCCTAACCCCAGTTATTAAGCAACTAGAAACATTGAAGTAGAAATTAACAAAATCTTGTGTGTGTTGCCTTCTTCTTCTTCTTCTTCTTTTTTTTTTTTTTTATGTGCTTTTTAGGTGCTACTAAATCTTCTCTAAACTTCTTACTACAAACTTGTGCTCAAGTAAAATAAAATACTCATGAACTTAAACTTCATCACAATGGTGCTATTTTTCAGATTTTTTATCTCCTCTATGATTTAAAGATTTTAAATGTTATTGAATTTCCAACTCAAGAATATTCAATTCCTTGACACTAATTGGACCAATTCCTAAAAAAAACCCTAATTTCTAAAAAAAAATCTATGTCATGCAAATATGAATGCAAACTAATGTAAGAATGGACACCTAAAAGTTATTCTCTTCCCCAAACTTAAATAAAACATTGTCCTCAATGTAAAAATAAAAGTAAGAGAAAACAGAAACTTCTCAGGTTTTGCATTTGAAGACTTAAGATTTAAGTTTTGAAGTTGAGTTGTCTTCAATTAAAGGAGACTTCTAGTACGTAAATTTCCATAACCTCATCCCCCAAACTGGTTCAATGACCTAGCCAAAATCAAAGAGCAACCATATATGCATTAACCTAGGCCATAAAGAGGAAATAATAATAATAATAATAAATTTAAACTATTAAAATAAAAGACAAAGAAATAAAAGAAAAGAAAAGAAAAATCTATGCTTGGGTTGCCTCCCAAGAAGCACTTAATTTATAGTCATGAGACAGACTTTCTACCACTCCAAGCTGGTTTTGGATCGGATTGTAAGGCATGTCCTTTCGTTTTCTTAAATCTTGGCTTTCTTGCGCTTAAGTTGAATCCACCATAAGATTTTCTCCAATGACTATTCTGAGGTGGTTTGGGTTTAGGCCAAGAGATGTGCCTTCCCAATTCTTCTAGGATTCCCCCCTTTGATTCTAAGGAAGATGATGATGTGTTCAAGCAATTTATTTATTCTTTGATTGAGTCCTTTGCTTGAATGAGATAAATCTCAAATGGATCCTCATAAGTGTTTTTCTACAAAATCTCATTAATCATATCAATAACAAAATAATAATCAAAATCAAATTTGGTTAAAGGAGGCTCCCCATTGAACACTTCAAATGACACTTGAGCTTTTTCCTCTTTTTCCTTAAGGACATCCTCTTGTTTAGTTTCTACTAGCATAATTTCTACTTCTCCAAGTTGTCCTTCAATCCCCAGGGGTAAGGTACTTACCTCTTCTTCTTGATTTGTAATTGTTGCACTTGGTAACTCACCTTTTATTTCTTCAGCAACTAAGTTGAGCACATAACTTGATTGAACTTTGAGATTTTTATCCAAACATGTCTCTTTTTCTTGAGCCTGAAACCCTAATTGTGGCTCCAATATATCTTCATTATCCCATGAGGAGTTTGGATAATTTATCCAATCAAAGTTGCATGTGTTGGGATAAGAATTATACTGTTGGCTATAAAAATCACAAGAAAAATCAACATGTTTGTTAGATGGTTTAAATAAGCAATCAGAACTAAAATGGTTTAATTCACACCATCGACAAGTAATATTAAATTGCTTTATTGTAACCTTCTTTAATTTTTGCTTTTCAATGATTGCTTGAAGTCATTCAAGTTCATCATCGTCAAGTTTTGCTCCCTAATTGATAGTTATTGCTTCAACTTGTGCTCTTAACTCTGGAGTAAGATAATGATAACACGCATCGATGTCTATGATAACTTGATTCATAATTAAACTTACAAAAACAAAAACAAAAGAAATAAAAAAAAATCAAAGTAAAGAAATAAAAAAAAAAAGAAAGCGTTCAAATTAAATCTAGAATTAATCAACTTTGATATTAATTAAATCAACAATCCTCGGCAACAACACCAAAAACTTAATAAGCTAAAATTACTCTACCAAGTGTATTAGTCACTCTAAATAATATAATGATGAGAAAAGTGTTGAATCCACGAGGATTGTGATTAATTAAGTATCAAAATAATTAATTTAAATTTATTTAAACAATTGAAAAGGAAGAAACTTTAATTTAAAATAATAAAAAAATAACAATTAAAATAAAACTAATCAAGATATGAGGTACTAAGAAATCGATTTCACCATAATCAATCAATATAATTTCTGGATTAATATATTTTTCAAAATCAATTTGTTAAGTGTTATTATATGTGATGCCGGATTTCTCTAAATTAACTAACTAGTTTTCTCAAGTAAGTTAATCTTTCACATATTTGTTAAATTAATCATATCGCTATATAATTTTAAACAAATTAATAAGCATTAAATTCTATGAAAACCTCTAGCTTAAGAAGAGGGAACTGCTAACTCTTTTCTCTTCCTCCACTACCACATGTGAGTTAATTACCTCTCGGTCTCATAGTCTAACACATGGTTTATATTATTATTGGTCTAATTTATGCAATTCTTTTTTAAGTTCATGCATAAATCACTAAATCAATTGGTGATCAAGTTTCAAATACATTAAATTAAATAATATAAACTCATTATGGAGATAACTTTAATTGAAAATATAAAAATCACAAAATCTATATTAAATTGATTAGACTATATTATAGCCTTAATAAAATAAATTAATTTATAATAAAAATAATAAAATTTGAAATCATAGTTATGACTATAAAATATCCAGGAAGAATAAAACTCAATTTGAGAAAATTAAAAATTTTAACCTCTTATTGTTGATAGATCATTTATTTTGATCTTCAAAAATACAAAAAAGGGGCTACCACCAGCCTCCAAAGCTCTCCTCCAAAACTCTCCCTCATTTTCTAATTTGGATGAGTATTTATAGAATTTTAAAAACCCTAATTGGAATAGAAGTAGAACTTACACCCAAAACAACAAATTAAATACGGATTTTGTGAAAATCGCGTGAAGGGTCAACATCTTCATCAAGGTGTCGACGCCTTCAGTTCGACAACTCCTTCAAAGGTAGCACTATACCGGTGTGTCGGGCTTTTGGCCTTCTAAGCAATTTCTGTTAATGGTGAAATAACAGTCTTGGTCACTGACTTCTAGATTCTACACAAGTTAATCCTCATGTTTCTGATCTTTGCAATTTGCTCCTTAAAATTATGATCTCTTCCAAGTAAGTCCTTTCCTACACAAAAAATAATAATTATATAAAATTAAGTAAAATCTCATAAAACTCATTCAGATATCAATAATA